AATACAAAAACAGAAAAAGGTCATAAGAAGGTATACATAAATAATCAGCTGGAAAGAATGTATGTTCTTGTCTCTACTGCACTAGCTACTGACTTTCTTACTGGGGGCTTGGCTTTGTCCCAGAACTACGTTACATAGTCTTCAAAACACAATCCTATTAGTGTCCATTAAAATCTGTTCTAATGATTTGAATTACTGTGAATTATTCTCTTTCTCTAACCTCAAACTTTTTACTGCATGCAAATTATTGATCAGACCAAGAGCTACCGTTCAAAAGCATCTGATGAATACCAAAAAACACGTTATGGATAAATACCTTTTTGGCTGTATAGCCACCACCTACAGCAGATCCTAGTACAAGATAGCGAAGTTTTAGAAGCCTCGAAGCAACTCTAGCTAGCCAAAAGTTCCTATGGGGCTGGTATTCATGCTTTACATATAAAAGTTTTGTTTTTCTTAAGGTAAGGTGGTTAAGAGAGGAAAACTGTTGCACCCATATCCTTAAGGGTGGTCTCTGAAACTTTGAATTTGGATAACAGGGATGATGAATGCTCCGGGAAACAAGGTGCAATTTCTGCAGTGGTGATTTTCCTTTCATTCCATAGCCACTATTTCCTAAACTTTGGCAGACGAGGCTGAAAGACAGAGATAAAAAGTAATGAGTTAATTCTGATTATGCACTAGCTCTACTCAACACACCAATAGACCACCTAGGCCAGTGTACAGATTACATATGCATATGAAGTTTCAGAGGGTGAAAAATAAAATTACTGTATTGGTCCTCCCACAGCAGGAAAATTCCTAATTAGAAATCAGCTAGTTTTGTTCCATGAGCAAGGAGGGGGAACGTAGCATTTTCATTTAATACAAGTATAATGTTTTGCTGCTTTAAACATCATATTTGACTTCAAGTGACTTTTCATGTATTAGCTTGATATTCAGAATGTGGTACTAATTTCATCATTTCATATTAAGGAGAGGAGGGGTGGTGAGCTGCAGGAAAACACTCAGGTTTAATGGGATGCCTACTGCAGAAACAACCTATCACTTGTAGTAAAACTATGAAGGATAGAAACAAGCATCAAAGCTAAAAGTACAGTATCTGTTGTCCTGTGAATTTAATTTCTGCAGCTGAAATGGTGAATTAGGGCACATACACATAACCAAGTATGTGCAAGTATTAGGGTGAGGAGACAGGAGGAAACAGTCTATCCAAGAACACAGTTATGATGATTCTTCATTCAACAAAGGGCAGAAAAAAGTCTTTTCATAGGAAGAGATGCTCCTTATAAAGTTTTTTCTACTTGCTATACCCAGAATTCCACTAAAAAAGCATTAGAACATCGTAAAAGTAGGAAACTTAAGCACCTAATAGTTTCTATCTTCTGACACATAAGCTTTATAACAAACCCTTTAAACACATGATCATATACTAATTTTTCTAGATGTTAAGTGCTCTCAACAAAATGTTTGCTCTTTTTAATATAACCACCCCAGAGTGCTGAGGGAATTAGCTGAGGTCATTGC